GAGCATTGAATATCCCCCCATGCAGGAGAGGGTAACTTTTTGAAAATTTTATACTCTCTCTTACCCGATATAGAGATAACTTACCAAGGCTTTACGGACATCATGTAAGGTACATGATATATTTAGAAATTAGGGGGTTAATCAAAAGTGAAACCTGAATTACTCGAAAATCATTCGGCCCTTGGGTTCCTTTTCATCATTTGTCACTTTTTTTTTATTATATTTTCGATCTATAAATTATTATTATTGTTGATGTTCAGGGACCGTATAACTTCAATGTTCCTCACGGTCTAGCCCTAGCTGAGGATAGGGCGGAGCTATGTGTAGCGGATAGAGAGAATGGACGTGTCCAATGCTTTAACACCGAGTCAGGAGAGTTCACGAGATCAATTCAGCCTCCGGAGTTCGGATCCAGGATATTCAGTGTTGCATATGCAAGTAAGATATGTTTACGTTTTGGAGTTGTGATTTTATAAAAACGTTAAAGTTTTTATAAATTTGGCAAGTCGTCTATATCTAACAAACGTTAAATTTTTTATGTCAAATCAAATGCCAAACACACACATAGGTTAATGGAACTTCAAAGATAAAGTATTTGAAAAATGTGGAAATCTATTTTTTTATTTAAAGTTTGTATTAAGTGAATTTACAAAGGGAGAATGGGAACTTGAAGAATAGCAAGAGTATTAAAGCTAAAATTGTTTTAAGAAAAAGGGGCGCCCTGAAAACCTAGTAAATTCATTATATTTCCCCGTCCTATGTACCTTGGGGTTTCCATCACTTTTTATCTTAATTTTATGAATATTTGGAGATCTGTGAGTTTTAAAAAGATTCAGCCATTCTTATACATTTTACTTAAAAAAAATTATAATTGTAATGGCATTTTATTTTTAATGATTCAATTCTACAATATTTAACTTCGTTTATTAATTATTTTTTATATTACAGACGGAAAACTGCATGCTGTTAGTGGTCCCGACTTTTCTCCGTTCGGACAGAAACCCATGGGATACATTATCAACATGGAAACAGGAAAACTTGATGGAACATGGCAGGTAGATAAAAAAATAATGATTTTAAAGCAAGAACGGACTGTCAAGAATCAAGTCGAGCTTCAATTATTTACGCGCATTTTTAAAAATCTAGGAATTACATTTCCGTTTTAGTAATAAAAACAAAAAAATAGTACCTCATGCACTTTTCATCAGAACAACGAGTACAACTTAATCGCTCGGTAAAGCGCCATTTTGACCAATTTAAGCTAAAAATATCCACCTTTTAAAGATTTAAGAATTATTCACTTTTGTATCCCAGCAAGAACCAATTTTACTAAATTAAATTTTTTTTGCAAGATTTTTCCTTTTTTTACTTTTTGTTACAAAATTAATGTTTTCAGAAAAGTTAACATAAAAATAGATGAACTAAAACAAGTAAGATCAGCTAAAAAATCTTTTTCATTAAATTTAACTGATATATCAAGAAGGTGCAAGATATATTATATAAAATCCTTGTATTATAGGTTACTGACGGACTCCAGAACCCTCACGACGTTGCAGTCTCCAGCGACGGTGGCACCATCTATGTGGTAGAGCTGTCCCCCTTCAAAGTGTGGAAACTAATGAACGGTGGGCCTTACACCACCCCGACACATACCCTTAGTCTTGTTCAAACTTTACTTGGCTTTTTGGGCTAATATTTGTCCAGTAAATTTATATAAATTCAACTTTTTCCTCAAATTTTTCTTGCATGTAGTTTTTATATGTAAAAAAGTAAAGATTTTTTTGTTTTTACTTTGTTGGTTTCTATTTTTTTTTTCTCACAAAACCATTTTTTACTAGAAATCTCATTTTTGCGCCGAAGTATAGTGTGCGAAATCTCATTCTTACTTTTTCAACTCACCCTTTTTAGTTATTTTGATATTTATTTGATATTAAGTTTGATTAAGTTTTTTTTTGTTTGGGGCTTTGCATGTTCTTTATTTTGCTTGTTGCATGGCTTTTTGTTGTGCTTTGTTTTATTGTTTATTATGTGTTAACAATTATGAACTAACATTTATACGTTTTAATTAAAACAATAAAATTCTAACTTGAATCTTAGTTTTAAATAAATTATTTTTCTTTTTAAAACGAATTTTAGCTTTTATGTTTACACCTTACAAAACTCATTTAAAATGATTTTTCTTCCGGAGGAGTTTTTTCAATTGGTCAAAAGTTGATTTTTAAAATATTTCCCCTAAAAATGTATAAGTCTGTATTGCTTGACGTCAGCTAGTTGGCTGGGAACCTCGCAAAACTACAACTAAAGGAATGTTTTTTTCAACTTTTGAATAAGTCTGGGCTGTAAAACCAGGACATGGAAAGATTTTGAAACTTCGATCCACTACTGAAGTCAAAGGCTAAGGCTACAATCTGTTATTTGTTTTGATTGGACAGACTATGTTCTACAAATTATGATGAGTTTTGCGTTACTCGTACGGTCATACCATCTTGGAAAAATTTTCGATATTCTTTTTGCGAAATGTCTTCTTTATACATAAAGTTACCGCTTTTTCTTCAGGACAGCCTTCAGCTGCAGCCCCCACTCCGGTCACACCCTTCTCTACACCTAACCTGGCCCCTGCAGGATCTCCGCAGCTGCCCAGCTTCATGACCGGAGCAAGCAAACTTATGCCCGATGTTTCATGTAAGAAATTATTTTGTCCGTGTCCCGATAAACCTGGGTTTTGTCCAGGAATTCAGTGACTAATTTTAAATCGTCATTGAGATTAACTTAAATATAGTAATTATGAAAAAAATATAAAAATTAGGGTTATCCATTAGAAATTTAGACTGTAGAAAGTAGGTAAAATTAAGTTTGTTGGGAAACCACAGCTTTTGATGCTATTTAGATTTAAGAGATAGTAAATGAGACTTCCTAGAAAATATTTATTTTATTAAAATCTTGTTAACATTCAACATTTATTTAGGTAAAGCTGTAACATTATTAAGACAAGTAATGTTGGTTGCTAGGACTCGCTATTTATATTTGCCAGTCACTTTACCGTATCTCCATTTTGTTAATTATAGAAAAAACATTTTTGTCAATTTAGTGTTGTTTCAGACTCTGTGATAGTAGCTGCAGCGTTATCTGTTCCCCTGACTATTCTGATAATGTGCTGTCTGGCAATTAGAAAATGCAGGAAACGCGGGAAAGGTAAATATTCAAAAATATTTTTAAAGGGCGTTTTCGCCAAATATGAAAAAAGAACCGGGGTAACAGGACTGAATGTATTTTTTAGGAAACGTATCAAAATGGTTAAAAAAATTTCTTTAAAAGTTCAACTAATTTTTAATAAAAATTATTATTGAAAATTCTTGAAAACGTATCCCCCTAGGATAGGATAAACTATAATTGAATTATGAATAAATTGGTTGCTAATTTCATACCTTGCGCGAAAATTAGGTAAAACAGTCAATTTTTTTACATCTTTAATAAAATTAACCAAAAAATGTCCCTTAAATTCCCTTATTCACCAATGTGAACCTTTAAACGCTCAAATATATTAACAGTAACAAATCTTTAAGAAGGAAAGTCGGGGGCCGGGAGTAGTAGTGATTTTTTAACCATACACCAATGAAATAGTACCAAAAACAATAATTGGTGTTTATCTTCAATCATTAAAATTTTTTAACTAATTACTAAAAAGCCAAAAATGACAAAAATATTCCGTTTTTAGTTAGTTTTGAATGAAAATGAAATTTTTATCATGATCATGACTATCATAATCTTTATGTTCTATTATTTTGTAAAGCCATATTGAATTTATAAGAATGTTATTGTTATTGTCTATGTATGCTGATTTAGTAAAGTCATCTCGAGGTTCAATCTTGGATAGATAGGACCTCCCTTTTTAAAAGTTTGATTTGACTTGACTTGACTTGACTTGGCTTGGCTTGGCTTAGCTTGGCTTGGCTTGGCTTGGCTTGGCTTGGTTTGGCTTGGTTTGGCTTGGCTTGGCTTGGCTTGACTTGGCTTGATTTGGCTTGATTTGGCTTGGCTTGGCTTGATATGGCTTGATTTGGCTTGATTTGGCTTGATTTGGCTTGGCTTGGCTTGATATGGCTTGATTTGGCTTGATTTGGCTTGATTTGGCTTGGCTTGGCTTGATATGGCTTGATTTGGCTTGATTTGGCTTGACTTTATTTGACTTGATTTGACTTGATTTGACTTGATTTGACTTGATTTAAGGTACAATGATGGAAACTAACAAACAGAAAGCCTGGGGTCTGGGAGATATCCTTGGACGGAGTAAAGATGGATTCCAACCAGTTAACACAGAGGAACGGGATGGACTAGTCGGAGATGATTCAGACTCGGAGGTTTGGATCTTAATTTACTAAACATTTAGACAAATGATTTTTAGATTAACTTGGGGGGGGGGGGTAGTTTTGCGTGTTTGCGATCAAAATAGTTGTATAAAAGTTGCCCTATGCATAACTTTTTATTAATTTCAACTTATTATTCTCATTTTTCAGGTTGAAGAGTTCTCAGTTCCTGCTCTTCATGCCTAATTCTTTTATCATCAGTTCCTGCTCTTCATGCCTTATTCTTTAATCATCCGTTTCTACTCATCAAGTCTAATTGTCCAATTCTCAGTTCCTGCTTAATTCTTTAATTATCAGCCCCTGTCCTTCATTTCTAACTACGCGATCCTCAGTTCTTTTTCTTGCAAAATTCCTTAACAAATATTGTTCCTGCTCTTCTTGCCTAATTCCTTCTATTTTCTGTTCACAATTGAGACTTAAGATTACCTCTACTGTAACTCCTGGATTGAATTCTCAGAACACGACATGTGGCTGAACCAGAAAATTAAATCCTTTTGAACCAGAACACTTTTAAAATGTCATCCAATCTAAGTTTACTTAATCCAAAATGCACTTCAATTCACTTCTTATAATTTGGCTAAATCTTAAATTCATTTTCTACAAAATCTAGTTTACTTGTTCAAGCATAATACGATGTCCTCATATCTTCATTGTTAAGAAAGTTTGCTAAAAATAGTTTTAAGAATGTAAATCTTGAAATTGGGTGCTGGGGACTATAAATAGTTTTTTTTTATCATTTATATTTTCAATTTTGATTGAATACCTTTAAACATAAAATTCGAGCATTTTCTCATCGTACAATAATATATTTATTATTTTTCTCTTTATTCTGTGAATATGTATTTGTAAAAAAAATTTGAATTTCCAAAATCTATTAGGCACATAACACGTATTAAACTTATCATTAAATGGACGCAGCAAATCACAATTTTTAACATAAAAATTTTACAAAAACATTTTTAAAATTCTACTTTAAATTACATTTTGAGCTTGACTTAATAAAAATAATTGTTGCTCGTAAAACGCATTTACATAGTTTTCGTTAATAGTCTGAGCAGGCATTTAAAAGTTTTCATCCGAGTATCTGATTTAAACCAGTTTAAAATTCATTTATAATATCCCAGCTTTGAATTGATTTAAGATAAAATTAAAAACCGACGAAGTATTAGAAACTGCTTAATGAAAATATGTCCGATTTGTTTATTTAGTCAAAGTACTGTCAGACGCTTTAAAATTTTGTAAGTAATTAGTTAATAATATCTACAAAATGTGGTCTCTTTATTTCCTGTTCTTAAAGGAAAATACTAAATGTTCTTATCTTGGTTTGGTGAATAATTTGCATAATATTAAATATCGTATATACATACATTGTACATATCTGTGTTATTATTTTTAATAAAGTATATCAATGTTTTTTGAGACGAGAAATATTTAACATGGACGACGACATTTAAAACCTGAATAGGTTTCGTCTAGAAAGGATTTATATTTCTTGCGAGTTCTTTGTACAGTCGGTACAGTTGTCGGTGTTTGCATTAATACATGAAGACGACTTTTCTTTTTAAGTTTTGATCTCTAACAAGCTTTTGTCAAAATTCAAGTTTACAAGTTAACTAAAAGAAGCTTGAAATTGACAGCTTCTTTGTTTCCATGTTTGAGTGTAATATTTGTTGTTAGTAAGCTGGGTAAAAAGCCAATTTTAAATCGAAAGTCGTTTTCATTATATTAACATAATTGACGGCGACCGACTTCCCACTGTTCCTAGTGATTTTTTCAGGCATTTCAGATGAACTGAGTTGTTATACCTACTTACAGATTATTTTTATTTTATCAGTTTTTTAGATTTCTAAAATGATTTCACTCGTTTCATTTTCTGACAACATTTTTTGGAGATAATTGGATTAACATCAAGATAATGTTGAATTCGTTGAGTCCTATGTACTAGTAAAGATTAAAATTGGACCTTCGAGTATTAAATAAACTGAGTAATTATGATGTAACCAAGAAAAAAAACTAAATGACATTTCTTAAAGTTAAAACCTAAATAAGCCATACATCGAAAGAATTCATCAAATGCTGATAATGTTATGTTGCAAATTAATTTTTAATCAAGTGATTATTTGGAGCTCTTTGAAGCTGTTCCTTCATATTCATGGCTATTTATCTATTTTCACAAATACCGAGATTTACGTAAAATAGTCTAAAACCCATTGAAAACTTGTCAAGACGACATTTGATAAATTCTTTTGATGTTTGGCTTATTTAGGGTTTAACTTTAGAGTAAGAATTATAATAAGAATCTTCAAGAGGAATGATTATGAACCGTAGAGTAAGAATAAAAATTAGGGTAAGAATCCGCTCACAGGAAAGTGTTATTGAATCGTTAAGTAAGAATGAACCTTGGAGTAAAAATAAAACTAGAATAAGAATGAATCCTGGAGTAAGAATAAAACTAGAATAAGAATGAATCCTGGAGTAAAAATAAAACTAGAATAAGAATGAATCCTGGAGTAAGAATAAATCTGGAATAAGAATGAATGCTGGAGTAAAAATAAAACTAGAATAAGAATGAATGCTGGAGTAAGAATAAAACTAGAATAAGAATGAGTCCTAGAGTAAGATTAAAACAAGAATAAGAATGAATCCAGTAGTAAGACTAAAACTAGAATAAGAATGAGTCCAAGAGTAAGAATAAAACTAGATTGAGAATGAGTCCTATAGAAAGAATAAAACAAGAATAAGAATGAGTCCAATAGTAAGAATAAAACTAGATTAAGAATGAATGCTGGAGTAAGAATAAAACTAGAATAAGAATGAGTCCTAGAGTAAGATTAAAACAAGTATAAGAATGAATCCTGTAGTAAGACTAAAACTAGAATAAGAATGAATGCTGGAGTAAAAATGAAACTAGAATAAGAATGAATGCTGGAGTAAGAATAAAACTAGAATAAGAATGAATCCTGGAGAAAGAATAAAACAAGAATAAGAATGAATGCTGGAGTAAGATTTAAACAATAAGAATGAATCCTGTAGTAAGACTAAAACTAGAATAAGTATGAATGCTGGAGTAAAAATAAAACTAGAATAAGAATGAATGCTGGAGTAAGAATAAAACTAGAATAAGAATGAATGCTGGAGTAAGAATAAAACTAGATTGAGAATGAGTCCTATAGAAAAAATAAAACAAGAATAAGAATGAGTCCAATAGTAAGAATAAAACACGACTAAGAATGATTGCTGGAGTAAGAATACAACTAGAATAAGAATGAGTCTATAGAGTAAGATTAAAACAAGAATAAGAATAAATGCTGGAGTAAGAATAAAACTAGAATAAGAAAGAATCCTGGAGAAAGAATAAAACAAGAATAAGAATGAATGCTGGAGTAAGAATAAAACTAGAATAAGAATGAGTACTGGAGAAAGAATAAAACAAGAATAAGAATAAATGCTGAAGTAAGAATAAAGCTAGAATAAGAATGAACCCTGGAGTAAGACTAAAACTAGAATAAGAATGAATCCTGGTTTAAGAATAAAACTAGATTAAGAATGAATCCTGGAGTAAGAATAAAACTAGATTAAGAATGAGTCCTATAGAAAGAATAAAACAAGAATAAGAATGAGTCGAGGAGTAAGAATAAAACAAGAATACGAATGAGTCCTAGAGTAAGAATGTGAATGAATCCTGCAGTAAGAATGTGAATGCATTCTAGAGTAAGAATAAAACTAGAATAAGATTGAATCCTGGAGTAAAAATAAAACTAGAATAAGAATGAATCCTGAAGTAAAAAAACAAGATTGGACCCTGGAGTAAGAATATATATATATGAATTTGAATAAATCCGTTCTTTTTTAATAATTCGTCACTTATCTAAAATTACTGTTCAGAAAAAATAGAGTTTTCACATACTTAAATCTTGCTAAAATTGAACAAAAGATTCGAGAGATGACTGTTAAAACCCACTCGTCGAATGTTCATCAGCTCCTGGTTGTATCTGATGAATACTCAAGGTCCTGGAGCTGGACTGTGAATAGGACCTGGATGACAGGGTTTTCAACCCCCATCTTAATAATAGAGAAATCCTGGATTAAAATTAAGGATTTACTCACGCGTACACGACTTTTCTTTTATATACAGAATACACAGGCAAACTACAGACAAACATAACATTAAACAAATATACAGGTATTTAACAACAATAATCGGGAATACAAACAAACTAAAAATTTTGTTAGCAAAATTATTGACATAACGTAATTATAATAAATCATAAGAATTTTCTAAAAAATATATATAAACAACAAAATAAAAATACTTTTTGAATATATATGGATGATTTTTTCGAATAGCTTTTTCTTTAATTTGAGATGAATATCATAAATTAAAACAGTATTAATAATGTAAAAAAAATAATTAAAATAATGAAAAAATGAAAGCAATAAAAAATGGAAATACAACTTTTATTATTAATTACAGTTTTAAACATACAATATAGTCTATACAAATGAGATCATATTATTTACAGGCCTAATCTATCTCCTATTAAATATGATTCAATAATTTCTGAATACACCCCTGCCCAACCCAAAAATCCTTTTTAATTTCAAACTTCGGCAATTTTATCTACCAGAATTCACAGTTCAACATTTTAAAGGACAGGACAACTGCAGATTCCCAAGATGTAGAGACGTAATTTTAGTTATATTTGCTAAACTGCAGATTCCCAAGATGTAGAGACGTAATTTTAGTTATATTTGCTAAAAGTAGAAATTCAACAGTTATCTTATTCAACTGAGTCATTATAGATTTTTGTCACGCCTTCTTTTTCGTTAAATATTGTTTAAAATGATAATAATTTAGCTAGTTTGGTTTTAACGGAAAAATTCCACTGTTCAGATTCCAGATTGTGACCCATCCATCTCATTTAGGAGAAACGCAGTGAGCCTCAGCTGAGCTGTGAAAACAAATTAGATAATAAATAATTAAGCGTTAAATATATTATAGTACTGTATCGGATAAAATAGATCAAAGGATAAAAGAGTAGATCAAAGTATACAAGAGTAGATCAAAGAAGAAAAGAGTAGATCAAAGAATAAAGAGTAGATCAAAGGATAGAGAGTAGATCAACGGGGATAAAAAGAAGACCAAAGGATAAAGTGTAAATCAAAGTGTAAAGAGTAGACCAAAGAATAAAGAGTAGACCAAAGGATAGAGAGTAGATCAATAGATAAAGAGTAGACCAAAGAATGAAGAGGAGATCAAAGAACAATGAGTGGATGAAAGGATAAAGAGTAAATAAAAGGATATGGAGTAGATTAAAGGATTACGAGTAGACCAAAGGATGGAGAGTAGATCAAAGGATAAAGAGTAGATCAAAAGATAAAGAGAGATCAAAAGATAGAGAGTAGATCAAAGGATAAAAAAGAGTAGATCACAGGATAAAAAGTAGATGAAAGGATAAAAGAGTAGATGAAAGGATAAAAGAGTAGATCAAAGTATTAAAAAGTAGATCAAAGGAAAAGAGTAGATCAAAGAATAAAAGAGTAGATTAAAGGATAAAAGAGTAGATCAAAGGATAAAAGAGTAGATCAAAGGATACAAGAGTAAATCAATCAAAGGATTAAAGAGTATATCAAAGGATAAAAGAGTAGATCAAGGGATAAAAGAGTACATGAAAGGATAAAAAAGAGGAGATCAAAAGATAAAAGAGTAGATCAAAGGATAAAAGAGTAGATCAAAGTATTAAAAAGAGTAGATCAAAGGATAAAGAGT